TTTGTATCAAATACCATGGAAAGTGCTATGGAGTCTGCATCGAAATCCTGAATAGTTGGAGCAACTTCTTTTCTCATACCAAGCTTATCAGTAATCCAGCTCCTGATGCCATTGCTTCTATTGAAGACTGGATAAACTGTTTCTAAAGTCCTTCCTAAATCTGCTTTTCTGACCGCATGATTCTGCAAAAAGAATCAGAAAGTGATAAATCAGATAATTCTTTAGTGTAAAAATAGAGTGCAAAAATATTTATCAGACTGGAAATCGAGCTCAGAAACAATGTATTCACAGATGGAAATTTATTAGTTCTTTGCATATAGGGCAGCATGATTTAACTTGAACTGGCATGACTGATTGGAGCAGCCCTCGGTGAGCCATGGCTGAAAACTTTACCCCAAATTATGTTATTACTTTTGAGACAACAAAACATCATAACCTTCTCCTTAAACTGAGTATATTTAGTTTAGTTGCTTAGAACTACGGTTTAAAAAGATTACTTAGATGGTCAGGCAAAAAAAAAAGGGGCTGTGGCCACATCCCCTGTGACATGATTTTCCAAAGATAGACTAATTGTGTTGCTAACAACAATCTGACAGCACGCATGCGTCACAGGATAAGGGGTTAAGCAAGAACCTCCAAAATAAAAAAGCAATTTAGGACAAACTTCTGAGTAATACCTTCAGTTTTCACTGAAGAAAGTAGAAAAAATTAGATATACATGGTTCTGTCATTTAGGATGGAGAAGAAAAGGAAACTACATAGTCCAGTTACTTGGTTATCTAAGTCAATCTGCAACAGCAAGGAACAAAATCATCCCATCATCTACCCAGGACTAAAAAAATTCCATGAATATCTTCCAGTATAGTGCTATCTGAACCCTGAATGATTCAAATATGAATACACATGTGTCAACAAACATACACTCCCTTCCAATTGTCAGCAGATGAATTGTGAAGCTACTGATTGGCTGGGTCGGTGATGGGGCACGGCGGAGTAGATCGGGGATGGGTGGGGCAGTCGCACCGGTCGTGGATTCCGACGGCTGTCCAACCTTGTGGCGACGGCGCTGCCGCTATAGATGCAGCGGCTACGACGCGTGCACGGCGGCGCAGTGGTGGGCGAGCAAGAGGGCGCGTGGGCAGGCGGCCGGGCGGGCGTGCCGGAGACGCGTATCGCGGGAGTAGCTGGAGGCGGTTCGTGAGAGGATAGGGGTAGCGGGAGGCGCTATCGCGGGGGGGCGGCGCGGCCTGCTACGGGAGGGCACGGGCGCAGGGTGGGCGCGATGGGGGCGCGGCGGCGGCGCGGCCAGAATAACGGGAGCGGGTTTTCTTTGCTTGGAGCGACGTTTCTTTCCTTGGAAGGGAGACGGGCATAGGGGGCGTGGAGAAAGATCGCACGGGCGGCAGGCAGGACGATGGACGAATGTCGCATCAAAAAGTGTCCACGCTTTGTTCTTTTTAGTGGAGACTCTATCGTGGTGGAATACAGAGGATGGACAGGACTGCCACCGTGACGATCTTACTCAGTAGGCATGCGCTCGGAGGGGTAGCGAGTTAGCTACCCACGAGTCCAGCAAGTTGCCCCTGAGTCTTGGCCCATGGACTTTGGAGCCTGGTTCCCAGTCTAGCTTCATCCCAAAGCCCATTTAGTTTCTAAAGTCCAGTTTTCTACTTATGTAATGTAAGTTGATTCTTCTGTCTAGTTTATTTGGACCACTGTTTTTTTCTAGCTTATTTGTTTCTCTTTTGAGATAGCGGGTACGTGGGTAGTGAACAGACGAGGGGTGGTTTTACTTACATATATAAGTAGAAGTAATAAGTTAGAACACAAAATGACATAAAACAACTTTAAAAAATAGTAGAGAGAATATTTAATACGTAATCATTGGTTGGAATAAAATGATTTTCCCATCGCATGAACAAACTTTAAACTAGGACACTCAAAACTTTGTATTCCTAGCACCAAAACTTTTGCACTTCAGACCTAAAAGCTTTGTAATTAAAAAACTTTCAACATAAAAAGTTTTCTATGAGATTACTTGATTGAACCGATACAAAAAAAAAGATAAACAAAAAGATGACAGACATTCAAAGTTATCATTTCACAAAAACCTATTGCACTTGGAATTGAGAGCTTACTACATTTGTATAGTTTAATCAAGGAAAGATACAACGGTGAATGACCAGAACACATCAAAAATGCAGATTTCAAAAGACTAACATCTATTTACACACCATATCAAGTTGAAAAGTAAAAAGCAACTCATCAACTTAAAGACAATCATTTTTAATTTGAGGAAGAGAACCAATTGCGAACCACCTCTTCTCACCATCATATGCAGAATTTTTATTTGCAAGTTCAGCCGCATAAGTTTTCTGTAGTTTTCTGATCACATTTCTTCCCGATCAACTAGTGTATCGTCTTCATACTTCAGATTGACCTGTAGCCAGTAAGAGATAACAACATTGATAATTAATGTATGAGAATGAAAATAAAGAAAATGACACTAGACAAGGATTAGAGACGAACATAGTAATGATAGAAAGAGGAGCTGATGTATGAAGAAAAGAGAAGGAAGAGAACAAACAATCCAATCCCCCTAAATACTCTAGTGTCCCTCCAAGCCGACTTTGCCTGGCCATCTTAATGGCAATGGTTATCCCCAAATGAACTAAGATTCATAATAGATCGTGTACTCTAGAGAATATGAGCCATGTCCAAATTAAAGAAACCTTGAAGGTTACAGGGAGTAAATCTTTTTCTAAAAAAATATGTACTAGAAGAAAATTGTCTTTCTCCATTTGCCATCTCAAAGAAGCAATCAGATGAAATTACAATAAAAATTTATAGTATGCATTTCACTTAGAGATGCACTTAGAAGTGTACCTGAACGTGTACTTAGAAATGGATAAAGAAAATTGGAGTTAAATAATGATAACAGATAAAACCAAGTTTTCCAAGTGTCCAAAATGGATAACAAATAATGAGCAGCAACTGCGAGTAACATGCACTTGGAAACACGTTCAGGTACATAGAGAGCTTTGCAGGCTAATTTTCTGATTTGCTTCGTGTCTGAGAGCAATCCAGCTTGAATAAATGCCTGAAAGATAAAGATACAATTGAGACTTGAGATCATCAGTATGCATGAGAATAACAACTAAGCAAGGAGTTTTCACAAAGAACAAACATTGGTCACTTTGTTAGATATTTTTAAATATGTTGAGCTAGGTAAGAGTAGGTGGGCAAGTCTAGATAGCAAGTCAGAAGTAGATAGTTACACATACACCGTAGCTTGGCAGAAGTGACACTCCATATCTTGAGGAAAATATTTTGTCTAAACATTCCATGACTGTTTCCACCATCCCAGGTACATCTGCTTCACTCTGCAATGCACTAAAGGACAAAGAGAAATAAACAGTATCACCGAAATAGGATAAAGCACATAAGGTGCCAGTAGACAGTATAAATAAGGCGCTAACTGTAAAAGTTGGCTTTGTCAGTGTAAGAGAATTTCACAGAAACAGAAAAGTATTCTATCGGCCTGTTCGCTGGTTGTTTTCTGGGCTGGTTTGGGCTGGCTGGTGCTGGTTTATTGTGAGAGGAAAACACTGTTGGCTGGCTGGTTTGGGCTGGCTGAAACCAACAAGCAAACAGGCTGTATATCTATAAAAAATAGCATTCTTCAAAAAAAAATGTAAACTCAAATCTATGTAGGTTTATGGACTAATGGCATAATCTCCCTTCCATTGCTATTGCTTTTAGTCAAGCATGTTTAGAGGATCACCTGGAATTTACAATGAATGAGGATAATAGAGTAATAACAGTGAGTTGAAGCAAATCCTTGTTTATACAAAACAACTTCAGCTATTCCATGTTTATACAACATTTTCGATCAACACATTGAGACTCAAAGGCTCCCTATGTGCGTGCTTGACCAAACTCAGGGAGGGGATGGTCGGTGGATAGGGAGGAAGGGGAGGAGCATGTTGGCGTCCTTCACGCTGTTGACACTTGAGGGCAGTGAAGGTCTCCATCTCGTCCTGCCACATAGAAATAGAAAAAAAAAGATTTATTGAAATTTAGTTTACATCAATCACTCGCAATAAAAATGCACGGAGAGGGCTGAAAACGAAAAACGACAGAGGAGGAGGATAGCATATCGGCGTGGCGTCGACTTGGCGGCGTGTGTAGGGGCCAGCGTCCCAGTCTGGGTTTCTAGGGGATTAGCAGCTGCTGTTCAGCAAAAGGACGCGGGGGCGGAACCGTGCGTGCTTCAAACTTCCGCGGCCGAGTGCTTTGTTAAGCAGTTGCCACCTCCTGAAACGTGAAGAAAATCAAATCGATGAGGTTGATTGAGCAGGAGAGGAATGCTACTGCTAGGGCTTGGACATGGACAGAGGAAAATCTGTGGCCTGCTAAAGGAAAATCTGAACATAATAACTTCTTTGTTGCAATGACTAATTTTTCTACACCAAAAAGAGGGACAAAGTTTCAGCATCAGAACCGAAGGCAGGGTGAATGCTGAATTCTGTAGCCTTATACTATCCGAGCATGATCGCTGCAGGGGCATAGGCACAAAGTGTTTCCACAAACACACGGCAGACGCGCATGGAGTAAGGGGAATGGGAGAAAACAGATAATTGAGAACTTGCAACACTGGTGGAGGTTGGAAGAAAGTACTTGTGCGAGATGCAGTGTCGTTCCATCTACAGTAGCTCCTCAGAGGATAGCGCACTGGCGCGCCCTGCAGCTACGTGCCATTGTGCCGCCAAACAACATCAGTAGTTTGCTATATTCGCCACTGAGTGTGTTATACATAGCTTATAACTCTAGTCTAAGCGCCATTTGAGTGAACTTTATTTATTCAGTAATAATGCCATAGCTCAAGTAGATACGCATCTATAATGCCATATAAATATAAATATTATCCCTCTGTCCAAGAATTATAAGCATATTTTTGACTATCCAAACAACTCTTTCAGTTCCTTGCCTTTTTTACATCAAGTCAAAGAATCTACAGACATAAGGAGAACACTAGCCACACACGAGAAAACATCCTTTGCAATATTTTATTCTTATCAAGCTGAGGAGGCCCTGTTCGCTTGTCTTATGAGCCGTACTTTTTCAGCGAACGAACAATGTTTTTCTCTCACAACAAATCAGCGAACGGTAGTTTCAGACATGGCTTTTAAGCGAAGCGAACAGGGCCAGAATCTGACTTACAACTTGGAGTTCCTGCAGTTGCAACACTTAATGGGAGTGTTATCTTCCCTTCATAGAGTCTTGCCCGTGGTTTTGGTGACTCCAGTTTCCTACATTACAAGGTCTCAAAGCATAATTAAAACAAGGAGCAAGATGCAAACTTCAAAGGAAAAACTTGAAATCTTTGGATCTTTGACAGGGAGAATGCACTGAAACTTTCCTAGAAAAGCTAGTTTAAGATCCATAAGTTCATTTAACGCCTCTTATAAGAGCGAGTGCCTACATGGGAAAGAAAAGGTAATGTCAACCCGTTCCCTAGAAAAAAATAGAACAATGGCAAAAAGTAGTCACACAAAGAACTAAATAAAGGAGAGAAAAGGTTAGTGTAAAATTTATTTCTATTACAAATGCAGAATATGTTAATAGCACTACAGTGCCAATGTATTATAATTGTAGAAAATGTTAAAAGCACAAATAGAGCAGGAAAACTTTCATGACTTGGTGCAATGTGCTTTCCACTCAGGAGATCAAGCAAGACGGTGCCAAAACTGCAAACCTCTTAGGACTTACTCTGCCTGCAGAACAGATAACAGTTAAAAATGAAGAAAGAGACACATTGCCAAAATGTTTCATGGGATACTATTGCTAGTATGTGACACATTTACCTGTCTTAAGATACTCAGGAGGCGTGAAGGCCAAATTAGTACTGTAGCTCTTCCATCCCGTCTGTTCTTCATCAGACCAAAACATGCCAGTCTAGGGTTACCATCCTACAAAATTGGCCCACAGTCAAAACACAAAAGGATCAAAGTTTTTGTATGAAGATATGAGAAACAACTATGAACCAGTAAAAACCTACCACATCAAAGACGACCCTGTATGCATGCAGGTCATGATAGGGTGCCCTCCCTTTGCTACTGTAGCACTCCAATGTCTGTGCCACATAAAGCGCAGCCCTCATCCTCATTGCCCAACTCAACGGATTTGTCTCCCCTGCCACATAACCACCATGAGGATAAAATGCAACTATCATCTTTTTTTAACACAGAGCAACTATCATATGTCAGATTGATAATCCACCTAATGATCGAAAATCCTAAATGCTAAAAGCTCCTGACAGCCATATCCCTTCAAGAGTGGTCCATAAATGAAAGGTCATAACAATTTGAATCGTCCCTAATAAGTACCATTTGTTGGAACCAACAGTTGCAGGTTAGATGCAAATCAAGCTACAGATATCCTCTAGCATGGCCTAAAAATCAATGGCATGAATGACTAACATGCCCTTACTGTTTCAGCACTCCCATAACTTCAATTAGTCAAGATAGTTGAGTCTAGACTCAAGAATTGTTTGATTCAAACGTGATCCAAATACTTAAAAGTTTGAACTTGCTGACAGTGAAGGCTGGCATCGGCTTCCGCCTTCAGCATGTACACCAAACCAAGGCTTTTGGCAATTAGCATGAGCAAGCAGAGATGCACACATTTACACAAGAAATATTGTACAGAAGTTATAATTGAATAAGCACCCAAAGGCCCCGTTCGCGTGCCCTTAAACCCGGCTTGATCCGCTTCTTTTTTCATCCGGAACAGTGTTTTTCTCTTACAAATTCCTCTAGTATTACTCCAAACCATCCAAATTCCTCCAAGCGAGCAGGCCCAAAAGTTTCAGATTCAATAAAATTTTCAGCTCTCGGCTGTTACAGCAACATCACTGTATGGTAGTAAACAAGATTAATCAATCTAATAATAGCCGTCAACACACATATATCAAGGTCTTGGTAGTCAATGCAATAGGTAATTAAACATGTAAGTCCTCCAAGCAACTAAAATCGAACTCGAAGAACTTTGCCCAAAATCTTTGTCAGTCACTCCTCAGTGGATAGAAAAGGAACCTCTAGTCACATGATCAGTAGCTCCAAACGTTGTGGCTACCGCACCACCAAGACGCCTTCCCCGGCGGTGGCAGAACGGGAGCAGAGGGCATACCGCACACGAACGCAGGCGGCTGCAGAACGGGAGTAGAGGGCATACCGCACACGAAAGCAGGCGGCGGTAGAACGGGAGCAGAGGGCATACCGCACACGAACGTCGTGGTGTCATTGCTGCTATGGAAAGCAGAGGGCCAAGCATCGCAGAACACATCGCCGACGTCCCTGACATTTGTCCGGGAGCAGTTCTCGAGTGTAGGAAGAGCGCCGCCGGTCGTCGTGTAGCCCCAGTCGAACGACTTCTCTGGTTCAGGCCAAAATCTTGAAAAATCTGATGTATCGCCGATCTTCAACTGCGACGTTGTTGCCTCCCCGTCTGCCTTAGACATCAGCGCAATGCAGTCTGATGTCGACATCTCTGGTTCAGGCCAAAATCTTGAAAAAACTGATGTATCACCAATCTTCAACTGCGACATTGTTGCCTCGCCGTCTGCCTTGGTCATCAGCGCAATGCAGTCTGATGACATCAGATTGGATGGCGTTGTAGACCTGACCTGTTCTTGCGACCTGGCCGCTGAAGCTGGCGCAGAGGAATCGAAAAGCTGTTGCTTTGCCTTGACGGAGGCCTCACCGACAGCCTTCCTCTTGCGCGCTGATGCAGAGTATGGCGGTGTGATGGTGTCGACGTGGATCCGTTGCTGCTGCGCGAATGGGTATGCGCCTTGTAGATGTTGCAAAGAACCAGCTGGGGCTCGCCGCCGTGGACGCGCTCGTGATCCGCTTCTTGGTCGTCGCTGAACTCCAGCATGTACCACTCGGTCCTCTCGTGGCAGTTCTTCCCGATCTTGAGCTTGTAGGAGAAATACTGGCTGTGTCCGAGGCAATTGCCCTCGTCGTCGAGCACGCGGCGGGGGGCGCGCTCGGAGTGCCACGTGCCCACTCCACCCGCAACCTGTCGTGACTTGCGGCTGTCGCTGCTGCTCTTGGGCCTTACGTGGGTGAAGAAGAACCACGAGCCGCTCTCCCCTTTCTTCGCCGGAGCCGGATCGAAGAGCGTCGCGAGCAGGGCCGGGTCAGCGGTGTAGATGTCGGCGTCGTGGAAATGTGCCGCGGCGGTGGCAGGGAGGGGCTCGCCGGCGATCTTAAGACGGAGGAAGGAGAGGAGCTCCGACAGGGTGAAAGAGCAATCGCCCGGCGGAGGAGGCATGGTGGCTTAGGAGGCGGCGAATCTGGCGCAAAAGGCGGCGGAGGAGGGAAGAGGGTGGAGGGCGCGTGAATCCTGCTGGCCTCGCGCGCGTCCCCCTCTTATTCTCCCCTACAAAACCCACCCACGTCACTTCAAATTTTTTCGGCCGTCAGATCTTTGATCGTGTGGCCATGAATGTTTGGAGCGGATTAGGCCGGAATGGCCAAGACCAGCCGAGCCGATCGCTCCCTCGTGCGCGGAGTCCGTCGTCTCGCGCCATGGCCGTTGGTATGACATGGGCTGGGCCCGTGAGACCCGGATTCGGCCTAATATTTTTGCCCTTCACTGATGTCTGAAGTCTTCGCTTCCAATGGTTATGTTTGGATACGATTTTGAAATCAAACTCTATATACCATGACTAAAAACATGCTACTGTAGATCATATAAGCATAGATCATGAAATCGGATCATGGATGAGAGGTTAAACCAACTATGGCTCTTAGTACTATCTTTATAATTCATAACTATTTTTGTTTTTTCTTAACTCTTCAAGGGCACACGAGAATTGAGCTACACAACACGTTATCTCATATAGATTCCATGCTATTGAATGACTCATCTTTTATGCTTATATGGCTAAACAAACATATGGTTTGACGATAGCTTATCGTTTAATAACAACTATGATAAAAGTCAATGTTTTTATCTTAGAATAGAATATTTTCAACAGTTCCCTTTTGCCATGGGACATGTAGCAATTTTGAGAAAGCAACAGCGACCTTTGTGAGTGGGCTCCACTACCAGACAATTTCTCTTTTCCTCACCTCATATGCGTCACATCCCTTCTGATGCTCCGTCCCGACGAAAGAAGAAAATGCATCTATGTATCGAGGGTGCTTGCTGGCGCGCTGGTGGTCATCTGCCCATCTCCGTCTCCAAGACTCCAACACGGGCGACGTTTGGGACAAGGCCAAGAAGTGAATCGAACCAGGGCGAGCGAGCACACTAGGTTGCTAGGGCCCAAGGGTTCCGACTGCCACAAGGCCGTCGTGATCGAGGCCACCATCAGAGACCCTCTCAAGGGCCCGTCAGGCCCATCGCTCTCCTCTAAAAAAAGCTCATGGCCGTCGAGCTCCTTGTCTTCAAGCCCTTTTTGCCATCCAGGACGCATCCTCTTCGCTCTGCCAGTGGGCCCATGCATCGCTAGCCCCCCCCCCCGTCATCGCCTCGAGTAGATGTTGCCTCGCGTCGAGATCCTATGCTGGGCAAGTGAGCAGGCGTGCTGCATGCGACCGAAGCAGAGGAAAGTGGTTGTGCAGACAGAAGCACTGGCCGGCAGCACTGAGGCCACCGTGCAATGCAAAAGCACCGGGCACGGCCAGGCAGCCTGCCCCCGCAAGCATGGATGGAGGCCACCGTGCAGACTGGGCCAGCGGCGCGGTGGCACAATCTCAGGGCTGCGCAGCGGCACATAACCATGGTCGCTGAGAGGGCACGAAGTGCGACTGCTACGGCAATACGGTCGTGGCTTCAAGGGATATTCGATTTAACTTTGTGTTTGGTTTGATTTAGTTACCTGGTTTATTTGATTTGTGATTGAATTGGGTCACACCATTGCGTGTGTTGTACTCACGTGTTCAGTGATTTTTTAGTATTTTTTATTTTTATTATATATGACTTTCCTTTAAAGTAACGGAAGTAGTTTAGTACTCGATTTTGTTCCACTCCGCATAGGTGGCTAGGTGGTTAACGGAAGTAGTTTTGTACTCAATTTTGTTCCGATGCGCATAAGTGGCTAGGTGGTTAGGGAGAGCAAGATAAAAGAACTTGACTAAACTAAACAAAATCTTGATTGGACTACACAAAATATGCCACAATCAAGCTTTGTTTTGCTCTCAAAGGAGACGAAATCATGCTTCTCACGGTGACCAATGACCACACCAATAGTGTTGTAAACCAAAAGCATCCTCATCTGAATGCATTTTCTCGGTGGAAAGATCGAGCCAGCGTTGTGGGTAATGCGGGTGGCACGAGATGCAGGTGGCACATGTTCGCTGATTTGGTCAGCTAACCTTTGCAGGTTGCCAACTTTAAGCCTGCTTCACAAATGCAGGTGTTTGCAGGGGTCTGCTAGGCCATTTTTGCAGGTGGGTCTAGCGCATAGCAGGCCATCTGCTGTGAACACATTGTTGATATATGTGTGATAAGTGATTTTCAAGAGATGATCAAGCTTTGGTTTAGTGTTGAGACTAACCAATGCGTGAGTGTGGTGTTGTGCAATATATCTCTTGTCATGTGATGTGCAGGTGTTGAGCATTGAGACCGTCGACGGCAACGTAGAAGGTCAAGCGAGTTCGTGCCGACGGACTGGGAGCAGTGAATGATGGATGTGTAGGCTTAGATCGAGGGGCGGTGAACAAACTATGGACGGCTAGCACTTGGTGATGTCGACAAGCAAGTGTACATGCGGAGACGGTGTAGATGATGTTGACAAAGTCAAGACAGCGGTTGACCGAGTCAAGCAGAGGTGCGAGGATTGGGTGATCGGGCAGTCAAGGACAAGTGGTGACATGCGTTGAGGTCGTGGGGTAAGCTTGGTAAATACGCGACTCCGGCTGGGTTTGGTGATTTCGTCCTCAAAACCGTGGCCAGACGATTTGCCACATTTGGGCTTCAAAACATGAGGAGGATCTCCGGGCGACATGTAGCATCATTGGAGAGCTTGCGTCAAGGAGAAGCGTCTTCATGAAGTGATCATGGTTGTGCAGTGCTTCAAACTCAAAATGGACCATTGTGCCCTTGGAGGTTAAGTGGTTCCACGAAATATCTAAAAGTAGGCTTGCAAATGTGTAAGAGCTCTATAAATAAGAGGAGGGTTGCCCCAAGTCATCTATCTCTTTTAGTGTCTTAGTTTCTCAGTCTTTAGGTTTTGTTCCTAAGTCTACCCTGATAGATATAGTGCAACCCAAACCAATCCCTAATCTTTATTTTATAATTTAAAAAGTTCTTAATAGGCCCCTTTGATATTTTGAATCTAAATACCTAAATACTAAGGAAATTCTCTGTTGACAGCAATCTATGCTTCACAGTAGTATATATTTTGTATATCGAAGTCCTAGGTAGGAAAGTAGAGTAGGCACATATCCTTCACAAAAGGTGAAATTTATATGAAAAAAATTGATTAAACTTTCCAACGGACTCATTCGATAAGTAAACAATTGAATCGGATTCGGATTCGCTTGGGCAACGAAATCAAGTGCGAGTCCCCTTTTCTTTTTTATTGAATTAACTAATTCATTTCCTTTTGACTTTTGGATTTTTGATTTTTTTTTGATTTGACATTATTCAACAAGAAAAAAAATCAACAAAGTCCTTTTTTTTGAAAATTATGTGATAATTATGAGAACCAATCCTACTACTTCGCGTGGTCTGTATTAGTTGAGTTGAGATCCGCATATGAGAGATTGAGTGTCTTTGTCCGTGTTCCTTCAACTAAGAGAAGACCGGACATTGTAAGAACTAGATCTTGTACAAAGGAGTCTGTTGGCTGATCCAAACAAGATTTTTAAGGATGGTTACGATAAAGCAAGTTTTAAGGAAAGTCGAGCACAAGCGAAGAAGTAGAACCAAATATTACTCAACTTATTGAATCCTAATTGTTGAGCAGCACAGGAGTCGCCTCACCCATCTCACCATCCTCTTTCTCTGAAAATCCCAAAGCACATAGTACGAGCACAACCGATACTCTTCCAAGATCTAGCCATGGGTAGTAAACGCGCCACCGCCACTGCCCATCGCTCCACGCCACCGTCGTACGCATACCTGCTCGACAACAGTGAACACAATGAGGGCCGTCAACCGTGTGGCCACTCCCACCAAGATGATGGTAATACTCAAGGAGGATGGAGGCACTGAGGCGGTGTCGTCTCCAAGCTGCTCACCCCTGTTGTTCTGTTAGCACCGCCGGCTCGCTTCGCTCCTCCTCGGCATCAACAACCCTAAAGTGTGAGCCACGACCAGCCGGGGGACGATGCTCGTGTTCGTAGTGAATCTAAGCAATACTAGTATCAGAATTCAGGTCAAATCGATCCACATTACCAAACAACCATTGGATCCGGCAAGGACGCAATATAGACCGTTCGATCAGGGTCACAGTGGGTCTGTGGCCCATTAAGCCATAAACCCATGCGCTCGAGGAAGCCGCACAATCCCTTCCCCGTCTGCTCTTGTCGTGCCGCCGTGAGCCCGCTGCCTGCCACGTGCTGCGCCGCGCCGCTGCCCTCCGATGTCACCTGCTCTTCCCTTCTGCTGGGGGTGCCGAGGAGACGCGAGTGCGGTCGGTCCCAGGCCTCCGGTGGCGGTGCTAGTTCTTTGAGCTTCTTAGAGTCCTCGGTCTCCTGCCACTGTCACCGCCGCCTTCATCGCGCCTGCTGACTCCTCTCTCGCATGGCAGAGGTGCGACGCAAGGAGGTCACCTCCTCCCAGTCTAGGAGGCCACATCGAGCTGCTGAGCTGGAGGCGCGAGGCCAAAGCGACTCCCAGGCGCGGAGACTCAGCGGCCGCGTCGAACCCATCGCCGATGAGCGCTGCCACGCGCTCCCCCTGCCGCAGCATCACCCTTAGGCGCCTCTCCTTTCCTGTTCCTCTCCCTTCGTGTGCAGAGTGGAGGAGTGGCATGGCGCTGATGATGGGCTGGAGCTGCAGATGCTCGAGGATGCCTCATAGTGTTCGATGAAATGCTCGTTCAGAACGCTGTGACCTTCCTGTTGTCTGGCAAGGGTGTTCGGTGGTATTTTAGCTTTTCCTTACATCTCTACTGTTCTGTTTGGTTTGGTCACTCATCATGTTAAATTTTGCAGCTTTTCAAAGGAAACACTCCCTGTGGGGTGTATTCAAGCCAAGACAAGATCAATGTGCTACAGTTACAGAGCCGGTACATAATACAGTGTGTCGCACACATGAGAAAGAGAAGGAAGAACAGAATGCCTCAAACCAGCAAGATGTGGCGCAAGAAGTCGACTGGAAGTCGCCTGCTAAGATCATGCAACAAGCTGCAGCAACTAGAGGTATTCCAGGGTCCCCCCACATGGGCTTTCAACCTGAAGCTCTTGAAGAAAGACAACTGGGAGATGCATTGCATCACACTCTGCACAGTGCAGAAGCTACTGCAGTTGCTACCAATCCTGCTGCCGTAACTGAAGCTGCTGCTCTTGCTACCAATGCTGCCACCGGACCTGCTGAAGCTACTGAAAATGGTACCAATGCTGCTACCATGCCCGGAAATCATGGGCGGAGTGACTCAATTGTTGGGGTTCCCTCTGGCAGGTTTTTCTATTTCGTTGCCGGACAAACTCCAAAACTCGAGCAGCTCATTCAAGAGATGAAGTGTGAAAAGGTTCGTTGGTAGTTGCTATCCTGGGAGGCGATTGGTGCTGGTCTATGGCCAGGTAACATTGCCCCCACTAATATAAGCAGGGCATGACCTGCTCGCCCGAAAACAGCTGACCAGCCAAAAGATTTCATGTCAGCCTGAGCAGAAGGCTTCCTAGTTTCTGATGACAAGGTGATGCCTGGTTCAAGCTGTTTTCTGGTGAAGCACTAGCAGATGTGCTGACTTTTGCTATGGAGTTAGGGAAATTAGTGGACTTGGCCCGTTATCAGCTTTTGTATGCTCCTGACGTGTTAGTGTTGCCCAGTCAGCTGCTTCAACAAGGATTTGTTCGGAGAACAGACTGCCTTGCTTTGCGACATGGATTCATTTGTATAAGTAAAGTTCTGATTCATGTTTAACCGCATGCTATCAGTTTAGACTGCTGAAAAATCATTTTATATGGTCGTTCTAGGTTAAAGTACATCCTAATGTCCTTAGAGGATGAATTCAATATAGTTGTTAGCATACGGTAAGAAATGCGGATGATTACTTACTGCTTTACTCATTTGTATCATCAATTAATTTACTAGGTCTGCCCTTATGGGCTTCTGCTGTGTATGTCATGCTCTTCAATGGCCATTGTGAATTATATTATTTTATTTTCTGACCATCATATTCTTGAAAATTAGTGTGAGTATTCTCTGCTTTCAAATTGAACTATCAGATCACACATAAATTAGAGCTCACACTCCAAATGTTCAGCCACTTATATGTGATTTGGCAGGATATAGTTTCTAGGGCACATGGGTGGTCTGCAGAAACGATGCTCTAGTTTATTTTGATTTGGATTTTGCTTTGTCCAGGATGGCACAACTTATTCTGGCCTTCTATGATTCCCCTTGTAGTAAGTGCTTATAGTATTTGTGTATTATCCCTTTTGTGGTAAAGGTTTTGTTTGGCTGATGTTAAAGGCGCTTTCCTATCTGTAGGTGATTGGCTATAATTGCTATGATGGCTATTGAAATTAGTAATTACAGAGAGGCATGCAATTATTCAAGGCATGCCGGTGATAAAATGTGATAACCATCTGGTTCGGAAGCCTCGTCTGGTCCTCCATCTCATCCATTTCAGGTCAGTAAGGGCCCAGAAAGGTACCTTAGCAACTAGCATGTTAGCTTGAACACAAAGCATCCAGACAACCTAATGCATGGCACTTTGAACCTTGAGTTGGGTGCATTGATCGAATTATGAATTCTATCAACAATTATGATGAGATAAGCAGACAGTTATATTTCCTTTGCTGTATAGTGATTTTTGCCTCCGTTCTTCTATATGTACTTGGGAAAATAAAATGAAGGTCGCAGGCTGTTGAACGTACTAATAGCCATTTGTTTAATCTTTTCCTGCAGAGTGCATTTGAAATTACATCTTTTGGGTTTGGGTAAGATTGGTTTCGAGGCTAGGAAACATCTTCTGTGGCAAATTTGTAGTCTGTGTGAAGACATTGCTATGACAAACATATGTGCATTACTAATTTGGCCTGAGGTCCTGCTTCAGTGACAACTTTTAGCTTGTCGTGCAAGTGTCTGTTGTTTTATTGTTTGGAAAAATTCTACTTATTAACCAATTTCGTTCTTTGTTTTACAGAGCTATTGTCCGATTTATGTGCAGCTATGTCACCCTTCCACTCTATGCCCTTGTATTCAATCACAAGCCAACATTGTCACCAGAGTGATAAGTGATATAACTGAATTATTATTTACTTCACTCCATAATAGAATTCAGAACTCAGGAGGGCTGCCACACAACTCTGAGCTAGCATTGGCTTTGCCAAATGCATGTCTCTTGGAATACTAAAGTTGGAGATGTTTGCTTTCCAGATGGTATCGCCTGATCACAAATGAAGAGAACAATTTTCGCCAAGCAGACAGCGAAGGCTCTGAAGAAATGGCACAAGGCCGTCGTGAAGAAGCAGCACCAGAAGGAACCACGAGAAAAGGAGATAAAAGGGTAGAAAACTGCTGTCCGGCTAATGTAGTCGCCTTAACAGGGATGCAATTAGAATACAATATGTCTCAAATTAGGACTAAATCTCAATCAGAAACCATGATGTTTAGTTGTGCAATACGCTTTTGATGATATACAGTTTTCTTGAAAAATATTGCATGTAAGACAAGGTTTAGTTGTGCAATACGCGTTTGATTGGTGATATAAAGTTTTCTTGAAAAATATTTGCCGGTAAGACATCTAACAACATATGGATATGAACCATCTGTCTTGATTTTGATTTGGCTACCTAGAACAATACCAAACATTTTATTATTATTTTTTTGACTTGTGTTGCAACACGCCGGTAAAATCCTTGTATTCTTAAAGACAGATCGGGTTACTGCGATTAAAAATCAAGAATTGAACATCGTAGTGCTTGCAATCCGTTCAAATATTGCCTCCTCCAAATAGATTTCTTAGTCATAAACTCTATCTGTTATTTTTTATGTCCATACCAAGGACAAATCACGATTTATCCCCACTGTAACTGCACAAGTCCACCGGGTGACGTAGCGGGCCCAGCTGCTCTTTACTCTAGAGTCTAGAGGCGCCCGGGCCGGGCCGGGCCGGCCTGTTGGTCCCCTCGTCCCGTGATTACTCCCGAGAAGTAGCCGTTGCACCGCCGACCGTTAGCACAGAGCCCCCCGCGGAAATGCGTCGCCCAATCGCTTTCGAACCCCTCCCATTCCAGCTCGTTATGAGCTCCCTTTTTTGACCTTCACCAGCGCCACCTCCTCCCCCTTCCACGCGACGACGACGACGACCATGGTGGCGAGGAGCCCCAACGCCAAGCCGGACAGGCAGACGGCGGCAGCCCTCGCCGCGGCTGCCGCGCTCAACCCGGCTCTCGTCAGGGAGACGCTCAAGAAGGTAGGAGCTGACGCTGACTGGAACGGATGCTCGATTCAATTCGTTCGATTTAGTTTTGCGGGGACGTTGACGTGTTTCGGCGGGTGGGTTGGGATCCGCAGGTTGACCGGTGCATGGCGCGGCTGCAGGAGCTGCAGTACACGGTGGCCGGCGGCGCCAAGGTCGTCTCCGGCGTCAGCCTCAGCCCGCGCAGCACGCGCGGGTACCTCCGCACCAGCCTCCGATGCAAGCAGGAGACCGTCAGGCAAGTGTTCTTGTTCTGCTCCACGTCCGAATTCGGTCGATTCGGTCCTAGATTCCTGGGAATTCTCTGTCTCTGACTCTGACTCTTGCCGCGCCGCAGGATGAGGGCGCCGCCGCGTCGGCGCAGAAGAGGTCCCCGAACGGCAAGTTCGGCGGCGGCGGTGGAGAGGGCGCGCAGTGGCGGCGAATGTCGCTGCCGGCGATGTTGCTCGGCGAGACCGTGCTAGAGATCGTGCAGGCCAGCCAGTTCGCGCGGGACATCGTCACGGCTGCCGGCGCTGCGAATCGGGAGCCCCCGAGGACCCCGAAACCGGTTCCCAGGACCAGGAAGCCTGCGGCGGCGGGGGCGGAGCAGACGCCCCTCCGCGCGCGGCGTGCCCGGGAAAAGCAGAGCCATCGGGGTGGCGCCGCGACGCGCTTCGCCGACGCCGCCACCCCGCCGTCGCGTGGCCGCGTGCGGTCCCGGATCCAGTTCAAGCCCGCGTCGCCGCCGGTGGCCGTCGGCCGGCCGTCGGTGTCCGCCAACCGCGTCTCCCGAAGAACCGGCCGTGGGCGAAGAAGGCGGTGATGTTCCCGAACCCCGCGTTCCACGCCTCCACCTCCGCCGCCGCAAACACCGACGCGTGCACGACGCCGTCGCCTTCAAGAAGCAGAAGCGGTTCTACAAGACGCGGTCCCCGGTCGTCGTGGCGCGGCAGACGCCGCACAAGTTCCTGGTCAAGTCGCCGCCGAGCGCGCTGGGGTCCAAGCTCAGGATCCACGGGAAGGCCCTTCCGGCGGCGAGGCCCGCCGCCGTGTCGTCACCGCCGCCGCCCGTAAAGGTGCAGGCGTCACCTGCAAAAACCCGGCGCTGCTCGTTCTCGCCGTCAAGGTTGGCGACAAGGCTCGTGTCGCCGATCAAATCGAGGCTGTCGCTGAACAGGAGCCGGGACCGGGACAGCGGCGTCGGCGTCGGCAGTGGCCCGATGAGCGGGCTGAAGCAGCGGCCGGGTATTAGCTTGACGGTGCGGACAGTGTCGAGCAAGATATCATCGAGGTGATGATCTTTTGTTTATCATCGAGGTGATGATCTTTTGTTTGTCTGTTCAGCGTCGTGTGAAGACGAGAGGAGGTACAGATTGCAGAGAAGAGAATTGAGTTGATCTTATTCAGAATAAGATGTTCTCTGCTGCTGCTGGGAAAGTCCTGTCTTGGGGTGCTTGTACACACACATAACGGTTATCTGTAATTTTTCGTTGATCCTTGGTGATAATACAGGGTGGTCTCCTCGACCGTATAATCGAAAGGCAATAGACTTCAACTGCATTTGTTGTTCAGTCTAGACTTCAGGCTCAAAGTAAATATACAGACTTTCAGAAGATACTGCGCTTGTATTAGAGTCTTCGGATTTTTGCAAGCCGCAATTTTCAGAAGCTGCACTTCAGGTCCAAGCAGTGCCGATGAGACTTGGACCTTGGAAGCACGGGCTCGTCCGGGGAAGGTCCAGCAGCTGCAGTCAGGCTCTACAAACACGAGCTGGTAAATATGATTTATGACACAGTTTTGAAACAATGTGGTGTCCGAGTACTGATAACTCTTTCTTTTCTTGACATATAAGTTTATTTTTTGAAGAGATAAAATTTCATTTAAAACTTAAATATAGAGTAGAGAGATGGGTCAAGTCTCATTGGAAGTTTTTAGAGTCATTTGGATAGTACAGTTTCTAAAATACGTCCAAGACTCATAAGAGAATAAGCCAGAGCTAGGAATCGAAATATGTCTTGCCTTCTTTGCGAGATTATCAACCACTCTACTTGTGCATCTGCTAATTTTGATGATAGAATGCAGCATGTTCGTCATGATAGCTCTAAAGTCCGGTAGGATTGGCTGCAAAGACCAATGAGACCGGGATTATGGAGGAGGTCCCTCCTGTTCGGTATAGTTGCCAACACTTCAATGTCTGATAAAAGATTGGCCTTTGAAGATTTATTGCATAGCAAGTTTAGATAACATCAACAATCTGGACGCTTGTTGCACACATTCTAGTCCCCGTTTGGGTGGGCATTTTTTGACCCTTGTTGCACACATTTGACATTTAAGTTGTTCAATTGCTCTGGGCAATCAGGGTTTTTTTTTCTTATATCAGTCGGCAATAGTAGGGCTGTCCTTTTACATTTCTACAATACTGAAAGATTAAACAAGAATGTAGGCATCATCATCATCAGGTAAAAAGCAAAAACAAAACTGAATCCAACAGAAACCGTATATATGCAACTACGTAGATGGTGTTCACTCCGTATCCGATCCGAACTTGGTGCTTAACAAATATGTAAGTTGTAACATCATTTCATTTCATTTACATACATAGGTAACATTGTTTGATTCTGTTTGTTTCCGTTCAGCAGTAGTTCAACTCGAGCAGTGTAGCTTGGGCTCGTGCGTGCGTAGGGAGGAGATCAGAAGTACACAGAAGACGTCCCGGCCCGGAATGACAGAGAAACAAGGGAAGAGGGCAGCACCAGTTGTTGGCTGGCTTGCCGCTGGCTCAATTGGGCCACGGCCCAACTAGCGGATGAGGGAGCATTTCCAGAAACATGAGAAAAAAAATTAAAACAATTTCTCCTGCACACAGAAAACAAACAAACAGAAACTATTCTAAGCACACAATGCAATAAAATGCAACGGCATGAATGCATGAAATATGCTATAATCTATATGATTGATTCAATTAATTTAGATAATTGCATATTTAACATATCCACTTCAGGTTTATATATTAGAACTTGTGTCATGTGTTTACGCTCGAAGGGAAAACAGTTATCTAAGGGCTTGTTTGATGTCGATGTGGAATTTAAACTAACTTTCACACCAACCTATCCTAACACACATGTATTGAGATAGATACACCGGCATCTAAACAAGGCCTAAGAGCAACAAGGCCTAAGAGTTACCATAGCAGAGCTTGCTGAATAAAAAGGTAACATGATGTTCTGTAACTAAACAAGGCAACTAACAGCCATGTAGCGTATGAGGACATGGATGACCTCAATCAAGTAAACAAAAAGAGAGAGTACCATAGTTTTATGCTCAACGAGCCAATGAGATACAGGAGTAGATGAGGACACAGTCAGCAAACAGGAATAAGAGATGCCGAAAGGATCCAGATGTCCAAGAGGGAGGTGAATTGGGCTAATTCTAAATTTTTTTTAATAATTAAGTCCTACACTTAGCCCATTTCACCCCCTAGTGCCTAAAATTGTTTCTATTGTTCTACCGCACAAAAGTTTTGCACCCTATATTCCAATCCTACTCTGTTCTACCGCACAAAAGTTTTGCACCATAGATTCCAATCCTACTCTGTTCTACCACACAAAAGTTTTGCACCATAGATTCCAATCCTACTCTAGCAAGGCAATTCTAAGAATATAAAGACATGGATTGAGTTGCTCAAATGTAAATGCTTAAGGTAAAGAGAGGGAGAGAAACGCGGCGATATTTTTCCGAGGTATTGAGAGTCGCCACTCTCCACTAGTCCTCGTTAGAGCACCCAGCATGAGGGTGTAGCTCTCTCTTGATCCACGCAAGAATCAAATGCTCTCTACGGGCTGATTCTTTGACACTCCGTCGTGGTGAATCGCCCACAACCGCTCACACCATAACTTGGGTCATCCACAAGCTCCGGCGGATGATCACCAAGCTTTCAATCACCACCGAGGCGTCTAGGTGGTGGTGATCACCAAGAGTAACAAGCACGGACTCTTACTTGAACCAACCAAGCATAATGAGAAGAGTGGATGCACACTTGCTACTCTCTATGCACAAATGAGGTCCTTACTCTTAGATTAGCAAATCTCAACAACCCCACTAGGCTCTTGCTCTCCAAAGTGTTTCCTCAGCTGAACAAATGGGCAAGAGAGTCTCAAAGCACAAGATGGAGGGGTATAAATAGCCCCAAGCCAAGAAACTAGCCGTTACCCTCCAACTCAGCAAAGTTGGGGTCACCGGACAGCAGGGTGGCGCACCGCCACCCCCTGTCTGGTGCCACCTCAACGACTAGTTTTGACCACCACCCCAAGGGCGGTGACCAAACCCTCGAAACACCCCTCTCTGGAATAAAACGGCGGTGGCACCGCCACCCCAGGGGCGGTGCCCTGTCCGGTGCCACGAAGGCCTAGGGTACTCTCTGGAAAATAGTGGCGGTGGCACCACCACCCTAGGGGCGGTGCCCTGTCCGATGACACCCCAGAATACCCAACCTCTAGATAAAAGGGGCAGTGGCACCGCCACCATGATGGCGGTGACCAGGGCGGTGCACACCGCCCTGTCCACTGCCATCAGCAGTGCTGCGCTCCATTTCAAATCCTGATTCCAAACGGTTTCTGACTTTCGATGATCTTGGGCTTCCACTGAGCTACCTAGCGCAAGATTTTACAAATGTGCACCACATTCTTCTCACTAGACATGCATAGGTCAAGCTACCCATCCATGCCCCCTTTATAGTATGGCCAAAGGAAAAACAAAGTCCTACAACTAATCTAAGTGTCTCTCAACGCCAAACGACACTTAGAACTTGTCCATCCTTAACCTTGTCGTTCATCCTTTGAAAACCGAAACGAATTCCATCGTCAGGGGCATGAATACCATAAGTGCCTAATCAAACACCATTACCATGACCTAACTTATAATGCCTCTACAAAACACACGTTAGTCACGGTAATCTTGTGTAGTCATTAATCACCAAAACCCAACTAGGGGCCTAGATGCTTTCAATCTCCCATTTTTTGGTGATTGATGACAACACAACCTTGAGTATGTGTATAAGAGAGATTTTAGGTTTTCAACCGCTTGATTTGCATGAACTTGTGGCAATAAGAGCAAAGGGGTTAGAACAAGTTCATGCATACAAAGTCCACAACATGTACTCAATATATAAGAAATAAGTGCGAGTACAAGAAAGTAAATGCTCGTTTAACATCGGAGTATGGCGGAAGCATACTAAACAAGCAACACAAATGAGACATGATATATAAATATAATGATAAGTCAACATGTCTCACAAGTCATCACACATGCAAGCACACATATAATACAATGCATAGCGGAAAAGTAAACATGCATGCAACAAAATAAGGGAGTAGCAAACAAAGATATCAAACCCTCTCACAAGCTCTCTCCCTACATCACATACTCACTCCCTCTCCCCCTTTGGCATCAAGCACCAAAACCTAAGGGTCCTGAGGTGGGGTAGGAGCAGTAGTGCCAGGTGCCGAGGTACGTGAAGAGATCACGAACTGAGTGTAGTCAACGTCTGAACTATCGAAGCTCTAAGCTGTGTCTCACTCTGGCTGACCAGCAGACTCTGTAGCTAGGAGTGACTGAACTGGAGCTGCCACTATTGTCGGTGCAACTGACACTATCACTATAGCTATGACTGGAACCTCTGTAGTGACAAGTGGAGGGGGCTCACTCACAGGAACTGACTGCTGCTGTTGTGGCTTAGACGAGGCAACTGAAGAAGGTATAGTGTCGCCAGTGCCTGTCTGAGGTGGAGCTATAGGTAACACAGGAACTAAAGTAGAAGGCACTACC